ACTGTCTAATGGCCAGCAGGGGGCAAATCCTCTGGATGTGAAAACAAGTCAGATTATATAAAAGTCTATAAGAAAACTACCCTACTTCTCAACTGATTTATAAACTCAGTAAACATGAAGTTTATATTCTCAATTGATTGTTATTCTTCATTAAATCATGATGTGCATATACCGTATTTAAAGGAACAAACAAAAAAGCAGCATCAGGTATGGCTTTTATGTGATTGACAAGTCTCTAATGCCTAATGTTGTCTGTCTTATTCGGTATTGGTTGTACATAGCTTAACCTTCTCATATTATTTTGGTTGCAGAAAGAAAAGATGGCAACTGCCAAAAATAAAGATTGTGATTGCCAAAACACCAGACCAGACCACCAGTCCACGAACAAATGGCTGTCACAGTGAGGACATATATCCACTTTTAATATAAAGTCTGTGCTTATGAACTCTCATCACCGGTTGGTGTAGTAATGGCATGAGAGAAGCTTTTTTCTTTCCTTCACAGACTTGTATTATTTTATTGTTGAAAGGCCTGAAGAGATGAAAGTCTTAAATCTTCCACAAGAAGGAGTCCTCCTGGGATGCCTTGGAGGGGTCAGAGCCCCAGGTGGGATCTTTTGCATACATCTCATATATAATAAATATCTCCCATGGGTTGAATGAGAGTACAATCATAAAAGAAGACATGCATGCGCATGCTAGTAAAAACTTCCTAATACTGGATGGAGAGGCGCTGTTGCCGTCTGCTCATCAGGTCCAACTACAATGGAGGACATGAAGTCCTTCAAATGTGCCACTGATAAGAGTTCACATGTACAGTTTCACATGTCATATTCCTGCACGGTAAATCTAACGAAGCTCTCATCGATTTAACTTAGCCTCCCTGGGTGAAATACGGCACTGCTCACGGATGGGAACTGTGTGTGTGTTACGTTCCAGCTCCCAAAAGGGAGGGGAACATGGTCACCCACTGCTCGGGCCCACCGATGCCAGCAAAAGGGGTATGGAGTTGCGGTGCGAGAAAAGGACAAACACCAAATACCGTATAACGCTTTTATCAAAAATATACAAATATACATACATAAACAATAACTTTCTGTGAAAAGGGGAGGGCTGGACGGACCAAATCAAAGAAATAAACAAAAGCCCCCCCCAACCCGTACTAACCCCAAATAGAAAATTCAAGCTCTACCTGGCACACAGTCAAGGCGCCCTAACCAAACGTACAGGTGGTGGTCCGCCCAGGTCTAAAGTGGTGTTTCTAGACAGAAGTACACCTACGGGTGATGTATACCCCGGGGTAGCTCTAAATGTACTCCCCACTCCCTGTGAAACAAAATAATTAGTTGAAAGGACACAAACAAACAACTCCCCACACAGGCTACAAACCAAAAACCAGGTAACAGCATATGCAGCGAGAGCGAACTGGTCCAAAACTGGGCTTTTTAAAGAGCCCAGCCAGCTGCGACCACTGACGAGGGGGTGGAGCTCCGGGTCCCAATCCTACCTGGAAAACAAACACACACCCACACACACACACAACTACAAGCAATCCCCGAATCAGAATCATTATACGAACCCAGAACTCTGGGGACGTAACAGTGTGTGTGTGTGTGTGTGTGTGTGTGTGTGTGTGTGTGCTGTATCGGGATTTAGTCCTTCCGTATTTCTGTGTCTTGTTGGGTTATGTTATGCACAGTGAGAACCAGTCGCCTCTGTCTTCAGCATCTATCCACAAGCTCTCATGTGGCAGCACAGTTTCAGCAAGACCTAATGGGGCTTAGCTGCCCAAGATGCCTGCAGCGATACACGTCCACAGTGAGGCCGCAATAGTGCTTCTATTACAAGTGTTGCCCTAATTGAAATCCTCTATTTATTGAACTTGCATTGTTGCTGGCGTGTGGCTGAATTTCTTTGGGGCATGCAATTTATTTGGACGGGTAATGAACCTTGTTCGTGTGTATACTTGTAAACACCGGAGGATTATCTTCTGCTGAGCATGAATGAAGATCTTTGTGTGGCAGGTGCAGAGATTTGTGACTCTTTTCTGGAAATGTCGGAAGACATCGAGCTTGTCAGAATAAATCGTGTTCCAGGGTGAAATATCTTGTGGCTAGAATAACACGTCTCTGCGAAGGGACCCAAAGTCGTTGGGAAAATTCAGGCCTTAGTGTGATTCTGACAGCAGGCTCAAGTTTATCCTCACGGTGTCGACACACCTCTGCAGAAATGAACCTGCCATTGAAAATGTACTCGTTCAATTTTGGAAATACACACACAACCACTATCATATGTAAACTGAATATTATATTATGTTTAACAGCTAACAGCTAGCAGCGCCCTGACTGAGCCTAGCATAATGACAGGAAACAAGGGCACTTATTTGTCTGTGTCTGAATGTAAAAAGAGGAAATTTAACTACCAACACACTACAACTCAATAATTTGCACATAATGTCTTATTTAAGTGAAGGCGTTTTGTATTCTTTGGTTCTGTATGTTAAGCTAAGCTGCGCCTCCACGCGCTTCTCTTTACTTTTCACTGGAACAGGCCTCCTACAACCAACCAGGCCGGGCGGAGGCCTATTATTGTATTTGAATGTTTTCCTCGAAACAGGTGATACATTTTATCTCTTTGGGAAGACAGAAGATTTTTTGTGACATGGTTTGCAAAGAGAAGCCTGTGAGCCATGTAATTACACAGTACCACACAGTGACGAATGGGGCCATCCAATGTCCTTCGCTAAACCAACCTAATCCTGATTAAGACTGATTACATATCTCCTCTGGTCTCACCATTGAGTGGGAAAATGGCAGACTTCCAGTCCTCCTGTGGCTCCAGCCATTTGCCCCCAGGAAACCAATCTGTGGCACTGGCCTTGGTCTCGGGGTGCTGACACACTTAAGCCCTAACACACGTAATGCACCCGGTGGGCAATTGAGCAAATAAATGAAAGCAATGAGAGGACCCGCAGCCTGCGCGTCTGAGGGGGGCTCAGAGGGGGTGTCGAGGGTCAGCTGTTTTCTCAGAACAATTTTTTTCAACCAGGCGTCCAAAGTCAACATTTCAGCCAACCTACGGCCGTCTTAAAGTGGACTGAATAAAAGCGAGAGGAAATGGAGAGAAAATTACAAAAGGAGCATCGCACCGAACCCCATCTGAGAAGCTAATGTTTCTCAGGTTTGCCTCTCCCAGGTTTTCGAAGCCCACATTCCGACAGTTTTTAATCAGAGTAGAGATCATGCATTTAACCAGATGATGGTCTGCTGAGCATAAAAATCATTATCATTATTCAAATCATCATTAATCAGCACCTCCAAACCTATTGCTCAACCTACAAAAGTGAAGATTATTGTGCGTTTACCACTGAAGCCCCAAAACAGGAGATGTCGAAACTATGATCAAATCGACCCCTCTAAGGATTGAAGGTCCAGCACCAAAAAGGATGCATTTTTTAAAATTAAACTAGGCAGGAGTTTGCATTTCATTTAATATTTGTGCCCTGGACAGATCTCATGCAGAATGCACATATGCTCATATGTACTGTAGCGTTGCACAGCTGATCCAAGTGAGGGGAAATAATACATTGACAAATGATATTTGTCCATGCTTCTAGATGCCGTGTTTTTATGAGATGAAGGGAATTTACTGCCTCGTTGGGGTGCAGTTTTTCTCCTCTTCTATTCATTTGTGTCACGATTCTTCTTTGGTGGCGGTACTTGCGGTTTTTGGGTGATGATGTAACTGTGGAAACGTCCCGGGCGCAGTCAAACTTGTAATTCAGTGAGGAATTTGTCTTCTGGTCAAGGCTGGCTGGGCCCGTCTTTATAAATAAAGATGTTTGTCTTCAAAAGAGGGAAAACCGAGGAGGGGGAAGGACCTCAAATCGCTTTATTAACCCACTTAGTTACTTACTAAACTGCTGGACACCCATGATATTAATTTCTAATCCTTTTAATACGGTCGCAGGTCAGATTCATGCTCTGTTTACATCATCAGCTCTTACAAATTAGAACACAATGTTGCTGAGCATGAAATAATTGGAGCCTTGATCCAAGAAAATATTCATACATCTGAGTTTGTCCTCCAGACGGTGTTTTTTGGGGATCATTCAAGGCCATATGCAACCCAGGCATTTTCAACAAGTCTCACATGTTTATCTGAAATCAAATCATGGCAAAGGCTATACCTATAAGTATCAATTTCATCTATTTTTTTAAACTACGAGTTATTATTATTATTATATCTGAGGCAGGAAGCAACCAGAGAGTAACAGAGCAGACTGCTGTGCACAGTCTGCTGCTGCTGCTGCTGCTGCCATCCTCGGCTGTGCTTGAAGTGGGAGTCTGGGAGGCTTCAGTGGTACGGACGCGCCCCATGCGTGCTTTATTACCTCATATACTGCGGTGATGTATTGCTCTAAACACCGGCCGCTCTTCTGAGCTGTTTATATCTGCCGAAGATAAAAGAAAATCATGGCTTTATTACCAGACGAAGTAGGTCTGTTTACACAGAAGACAGGACTGGATGGCGGATCTGGTCGGCCTTTCCAGAGGCAATAAACTGTCCCACGTGTGCAAAGCGTCGCCGAGCAGGGCCCAAACGTGTGGGATACAAAGCGGTATCTGTTGGAACGACCATTCCAGTAGTAGCTACTCAGGCAGGTAGACATTTTATCCTCACGACTCACAGCTTGATATAAACTAATAGTGAGCTTTGTTTGGATTATTATTTCAATGTTTCTGTCTGGATCTCTGTCAAATCCTTACTAGAATCAGGCACAGTGTTTCGGCTTGTAGGACAATTGAAGATCATACATTGCTTAGGTTCTCTTCCATAAGATTATCGAAAAACGGTATGCCTGCAGCGCCCTCCTGGGGTGAGAGTGAAAACCACACAAGGCCCAGGGACAGTTTGACAGATATTGTGGGATTTATTTATGATTAGAGCTCCCAAATGCCTTGAAAGTTATGTCAGTCCACAAGATTAAAGAGTCAAGAGTGCTGTACAGTATCACGTGATTTTATTAGCCTGTACTGTAAGTTTAACTGTGCTGTAAGGCTGTTTTACAAACACACAATATATACTGGCGGCGAGGTCAGTGAGCTCTACAAACCAGGAAGATACATTTCTAAATCTGAAAAAAAAATGATAGTGTTGTCAAAGATTGAAATAGTGAACACTTTGTACTGTGATGTGATCTGCAGCGCTGGTTACGGTTTGACTTGAGACAATAGTAAAACGTTCAGAAAACGGGAGAGGATCCCGTGTGCCATATCTGCTATAGCTGAAGCATGCGAGTTAATAAGATATTACTGTCTGCAGAAATGGATATGCACGAGGATACACAAGCTGAAAACACAGGCATGCGTTTTCTGCCCGGTGAGGACTTATTGGGACTAAATCTCAAATATGATTTCTGATTCGGACCATCGGCCATTTATTCTCTACCCGGTAGAGTCTACCGTTTTATACACGTTAAACAAGCTCAACTTCAACTTGAACTGATGTTCTCCACATATAAGAATATTGTACACAAAAAAAGAAATCCACGGCTGACCCTTTGAATAAGACAAATACTTTGCCATTCAAAAAAAACAGCAGGGTGAGAAAACATTTTTAAAACAGGGTTTAAATCAAATCTCATAATTCTTTTAATCAGTAATTGTATGTACACTGCCTTTAAAGTTTGGGTATTTTCAACACAACGGTTTCCTCGGCTGGCATGTAACACTGTAGAGACACCGACTAAACGGGGTCAAGTATTCCAACACTTCTTTTAAGGCCAAACATATTTCCAAAGAAAACAATAGATTTGATGACTAAATTACACTGAATAAAGATGGAAAGAGGAAACACATCAACAGAAGAGGCGAATCCAAACGTCGGAATGTGAATACATAAGGTTCCACATGAGGCTCTGTCACACACTAGAACTGCTTTTTAATGTCCGACGGTGTAGTGTTTGGGCCGAGGAGAGCGAGGATGCAACCGAATACAGTGTACAGTCACATTTCCATGAACAAAAAAAAAAAAAAAACAGAAATTAAACTTTACGGCCGGTCAGCCATGGTTGCATGTAGTTTCACAAAGTGGGCAATCATGCGATCACTGCGGTCTCCACCCGATGGCTACAACTCCGGAAACCGCTGTATGCCGAGCAGACCACAGATGGGTCTTACGTATCGATAAGCAAAATCAGAAATCACGTTTAAATTAAATTCATCCCACAGAAATCCTTCAAAGAACTCAACACTAGGACTGTTTGATGGCCACCGGAGCAGTCGTGTTCAGGGAGCGAGCGGGCCCAGCCTCAGCTCCACGTGGTGCGTCAGCCAAATGGACTCGGCGGGGGCGGGGGCGGCGGCGGCTCCCCCCTCCTCGCTCGGCCTGACGGGGGCCGCGAGGTTGCGGAAGTCGTGTCGGATCTTAAATGACACGGTGACATCCGCGTCCTCTTCTTTCTGAGGGATCACTTTGATGAAGAAACCAATCTTGTTGGATTTCCTGAAGGCAACAACACTGTGGAAAGAGCGGAGGGATCAGGCCGAGCGTTACCTCACACTATCAATCCACTACGTGTGTGTGTGTGTATGTGTGTGTGTGTGTGTGTGTGTTTACTTACTCGGGGTCGTCCTGAAAGTCCTGGGGTTCAGCCAGTTCGTCATACTCTGCAGCGGCGTCTTTTCCTGCCAAGACCAGTTGTTTGCCGGGAACCACGACCTAAAACAACAAAAACAGTTTGAAAAGGGCAACATTTTAAAGTTCTGGATGAGTAAAGTTAGCTTTGAAATGTCACAGTTTCTCTGTTTTTTAAGTATGCCAATGCCATTTGTGCGTTTTGAGCAACAACAACCCCCAACTAAAACATTTGTGTTGCTTAATGTAGCTTCACTTGTGATGTTCGTCCCTCACTGTGCGGAATGATCAACGTGCAGTTTGTCACCAGGGGGAAGTTTTAAAATCAATTTGTTAAATCTGACTTCAAGAGCCAGTATTTGCATATTTACATCTGCGTATCTTTTTCAAAGATGGAAAAGAGACAAATTTAACAGGGTGATATATATTCTCTAATGTCATCACACATGTCTGGAGTAAAGAAGGCTTTCACATTTTTCTAAATATTTATATTAATGTGGCTATTGTTTTACAGAACACATTGGAAAGATTATGCATTATTATTATCAAATGTATTGATTTAATAATTCTGATTACTACAATCTAAAAAGGTCCAATGTAGAGAGTGAGATGTCTTATGGTTACTGTAAAACGCTCGATCTCAGGAGAAATGCGTACAGCCAGTATTCAGAAACGGTGGTATTTAATCATACGGGCGTGACGCCGCAGATAGAAGCGAGTCCGTGTCTGGCCTGCAATGATGCTGTGAAGACGACGACAGCGTAGAGGCGGAAGAACTAAAGCCGCTGATCAATCATAGCAGACTGGCTTTATGGAGAGGGGCGCTATAATAGGAGGGTGAGATTTTGATGTCCACGACTGTTGTAGTAAGAAACCCAAATACAAGTTTAAACCTTAAAAATGAGCTCAAGATTTGGTTCACGCCACCCTCCGGGTGATGGAGCATCAGATCGAGAAGGATGACCGGAGTGCACTCGCGGGAGGAAATGGGTCATGAAGACGCTGCGTGGCGACCGGGAACAGTCCGGCCCATGACTTCATCGCAGGAGAGACAAACAGCCCGTGGTCCCCGAAAGCGTTTACCGCGGCAACGCTGCGCTTGTAACAGCTGACAGATGGAAGTAGAAACAGAGCCCAACTGCTCTGCATTCAAGGCGACAGTAAGGCTCCCCGCACCATACGGAAAAGTTGGCGTGAATGAGCGGGCCACCTCGCACGCAGGAATACTGCTTGATATAATATGGAATATTTATGAGCGGGCAGGTGGCGACGACTGGCGCAATCTGTGACTGTGCACATTTCGTGCACTTTGTTTTTGAGCCATGATGCTCTCTTTAAAGCTTCATTCAGTGACGCTTGGCCACCATGTGGTGCAGAATTGCTCCTAAAACAGGTGGAGAAACACACAACCCGTACATATCATCGCCTAATAATAATCTGCAGCCTGCAAAATTATCTTCCCACCGAAAGGTTTCTGACCAGCTGACACATTTAGGTTCAATGTTCACTGGGCTTTCAGCTCAGTCTAAAAATATCTGGGCTGCAGAGTTGTGGGATCATTATTAATTATTTGTCCAGAGAGATTCACTGCAGCTAGAATTCACATCACCACTTTTTAAATCATAGAGTCAATGGCAGAAAGTGTCGAGTATTTAACCTAACTGTCTGATCCTTTTTATTTTGCTGTTAAATACCTTAGCTGTGCTGTTGATGTCATCAGGATCGTCGTCCTCACAAGGAGCCAATGTGACGTGGGTGATGTTCTCCACTGGGTTGGTCAGAGTCAGCAGCACTTGACTCTCCTAGAAAGACGAGATGATTAAGTTCACTTAGAAAGCACTGGTCTTGTTAATATCGCTAAAAGAGCACAATAAAATGCATAATTTAACTCAATGAACATATGAGAATCAAGTGTTGTCGTGTTTTTTTTTTTTTTTTAGATTAACTGTGCCGACTGCGTCTTGAAACAATATACCCCACAAGTTTCGGGTTAATAACCGGGACAGCAGACAATAGGGGAAAAAAAATAAGGTAACGTTAGTTAGTGGTCAGTTAGCTGGGTTTCACTGCACTGACTGCTACAGACCCAACAGAGTAAATAAAACACGGCAAAGACAACACGCAACACATTCCAACCAGTGCACACAGACCTTCATGTTCCGGAGATTTGGAATGGACATAATTCTCACTTCAGGGATATAACTCCTGCGGGAGGAAGGATCAATACAGTTACACTCAACAACATCCACCACCAGTTAAAACACAAGAGACCATCAACTCCTGATGAGCCCATGAGAAACACATGCTATTTGTGCCGCATCGAGTTACTTATTTGATCGTTTCCATGGACACCATTCTAGATGTGTGTTTTATAGGGTTATAATCCTTTAGACGTGTTTACCATTAAGATTCTTTTGCATGGATAATTTCCCAAACCTGAGTTTGAACAAAAAATGGTCAGCATCTTCATGAAGACACGCGTTTAGACGGAATCGGATGAGCAAATACTCACACAGCCACTAGCTGTATTTTAAACTTGATCGAAGTAGGATTAAACTCCGGCTTGCTCAAGTTGTGCTCGCATTTCTGGGGAGGAAACAGAGAAAGTAAATTGGTTAAAAATATGATCGGCCTGTCATCAAAAAGGAGAACACGGGTGCGTGAAACCGTGCTGACCCTGCAGCGCAGCGAGCGCTTCATGAGGAGGTGTTTGTGCCTGGGGTGGAGCTGGGACGCCCCCGCGGGCTGGAAGTCAGGCTGCAGCAACCGCTGGCGCAGCGTGGTCACTGGAAGGACACGAGGAGGCTTAGATTCCACCGCACATCGCTCCTACCGCTTAGCGAGCTCCGAACAAAGCGCTTACCCTCCGGTAGGCTGATGGGCCGGCTGTAACAGTCCTCGGGCAGGGGCTCCACTTCATCAAGGGCCGGGGCAGGCTCGATGGTGATGTCCTTCTGCTCCTCGCCCTCTTTCAGGCTGGGGAAGTGACACAGATACTGCCGTCAGCAACCCGCTCTCATGACGACGCAGTTTAATAACGACACAGTGAGAGTTCCCGTCACAAACACGTACCAACATATCAACATCAAAGGTGACTTTGGATGTTGACATATTAACTGCAAATAGCGGACGTCTATAGGCCTTTAGGCTACTGAAGGGGAACCTTCTGAGAGAAGAGACCGAATCTGCATAATCGTGTCCATCACGTCTGGGCTTGTTCTACGTGTGCGTCTCTTATATCGGACGGCATACTTTGTCAATACGGTGCCTTTTGTCAGCTACTTTGTTTTTAGACATAAAAGCAGGGTCCTTGATATCCTGTAATAATTTAATATAAAAATGTTGATCGCTCATAACGGCATTACTACAAAGTGAGAAAAACTACGGTGACGAGCAGTTCCGTGTGACGGATTCCCATGTATCTCAGGTGAGGTTTCAAGGCTCTTTTAACGCACACTAAAATGAACGAAACCTTTGCTGATGGATGGTGACAAGTCAATTTTCAGTCACCAATAATATTTTAGAAAGAAAGAAAGAAAGAGAAAGCAGTAATTCTCCGTTTATGATACAAAGTCCACTCACGAAAGGCCTGACAGGCTTGATATGGGAGCTCCAGGCCTCTGCCTCTGCAGTCTGGTTCCAAGGCCATATTTTTCCTGAGGGAATTTAGGAGGGGGTTAGTGGGGCGGTGAGGGGGGGCGGTGAGGTGGCTAGATCAGACATTCCGCCTAGTGAAAAAAAAATACTGGACAATTTAGGAAATTACACAATCTACAGTCATCTACAGGACTACTTTTAACACAAGCTATTAATCCAAAAACAGTGGGTGTAATACGACAACAACTAAAATGGAAATAAATCGTCTTTGTTATTTTAAATAAACATCAAATAAGCGAACAACATTTCTATATTTATTGTGGTGAGAGACAATAACAGGAGCCTTCTTTGCCCAGGATAGAGAATCAACTCCGACAGACTGCGGGTTCACGACTTAATTAGTATGAAAATATTTAGATCTTGTTCCACAGACTCAAACTAAATCTTCCGTTTCTTCTCTCATTCTTGTCAACACTAAGGCTCCCGTTGTCCGTCTCTCTGCCTCAGTGACCCAAGGAGACATTCATGTGATCTGTGAGGTTACTCAGTTACATTATAGATATGAAAGGAGATGAAGACAGTGCTACTGTAAAGATGAGACTATCCAAGTTGTGAAAAATACAACTCACCACCACATGAATAGTGTGTTGCTGTGGGGAGGGGGGGGGGGGGCAAAAACCAAAATATCAGAGTGCATATGCAAAGAAAAAAGAGAGAATAAAGAACCAGGTGAAACAAAAGCAATTCAGCAAACATCAGTGGCATTTGGTGGCATGCAACAGCAACAGAAATGCATCAGTGATGGAAAACAACAGCAAGACAGATGTTTTTTGCTACACAACAGGAGAAGGTGCACAACCATGTGCCAACAAGCTAAGAAGCACAAAAACCATGTCCACACGGGGGGAAACTAACTTACACATCTTCAATTGTTGACCTTTCACACAGACTAAGCAGGCTTCTCTTTAGTTTTGACACTTTTTAAATAGGCTTGAAAAACTTTTTGAAAGGAATCAAAAAATCGTTTACACAAATAAATATAATTTTGCTACGTATCTGCCCAAGTGTAGACATGGTGTGAATATTGCGCTTTAACTAAACTGCCAAGCTGCAACCTGCTTTGGTTCAATGTCTGCTAATCAAACAATATCCCCACGGATAATGAATGTGTCATTGGTAGTGTTATTGAGATTTAGTTATCAAATGTATCTCTTAAATGCAGTTTATCATCGATTCTTCTTCCCGCAGGTTTTGTCACAGCTTAAAGTAAGACGACGCTGGAAAAGGAACAGCAATGCTATGGAAGTGTGTTTGAAAGGCGAAAATTGGCTCATAGGAAGTAAGGTACCGAGAACGCCAGAGGCATGCACTGTCTCCTCCTGGCCATCTTCTTCCTATCTCTATCCTGCTTCTCTCTGTGGGCCAGCTGCTGGTAATACTCGATCAGCTTGTTGATCTGTAGGAAAACCAAACATTGCCTTCAGATACTTGTCATCAACACTTCCCGTATATAAATTTAAAAAACAAGAGTAATGAAGTGAGCAGGGATAAAAAAAAAAAAGTGTTTTTTATGTTAAAGAAAAAAAACATTAAAAAAAGCTTTCCTTCAATAATTGAAGGTTTTAAAATGAAAACTGAACAAAGAAGGTCCTTTCTTTTCCCCCTAACCATCACAATTGTTAAATAAAATGTAAAAAATAGAAATGGGGGATTGAAGAGAAAACTTCTGCCTCTTGGCAGCTATACGTTGGTGTCAGTTATTCACATCTATTCAAAAAGAAGTACTTCATAGTCAGGAAGCATGTGAGAAACTCGTGAGAATAAATGACCACAGGGGGCAAACTCACCCGCTGAGTATGAGGGTTCTCTGGCTCCTGCCATCCGCCACTGGCTGCAACAAAATTCACCAAAATCACAAGCCATGAGAAACAAATATACAACATAACAGCCCTGTACATGTGCTGAATTAAGGAGTAAGGCTGGACTCAAAGCAGGACTTAGTAAGAAACATCGACCGTACTTTGTTTTTTAAAGTTTTGTAAATACTTATGGCCACATTGAGGCTTCCATGTTATTTACGTCTGCACCCACCAACGGATTTGTCAGCCATTCCCACATCCCTGGAGGTCCAGCGACAGAAGCCGCAGGCCAAGTAGTAAGCCTTCTTCATGGCCGTCTTGGTGGGATCGTCAGGCAGAGGCGCTGGGATGTTGGTGGCTCGGGTAGACAGCGTGTGCATGCAACACGGGCAGTCAAAACAATTTGCACACCTGCAGAACAGTACAGCACACATAATCAGGAATGGATGAATGTATATTAATTACTTTCATTAGCATCATTTGATGACGTAGGGAGATCAGAAAATTAAAGTCAGCAGTGACCTGCTTTATTGAGTATGAGCACCTCGGGCTCACCTGTTCTTTTTCAGCTTAGCCTCCGCTGATGGCATGTTCTCCAGACAGCTTGGACAGTAGTGAGAGTCCACCTGATTACCACCAACAAGACGGGAGTCAGTCAAACGGCGCATACTCATCTTAAACGGAATAGCTTTAATTCAGGAGACAACCTTCGTGTCTTACTGCCTGAGCTGCAATGAAAAGCGATCACGTCAACAATAACAAATCACGGCCTAGTGATCTGAAATCGCAATATGTGAATGTATGTGAAAGAGCTAACAGCACTCTGGGTGTGGTGTCCATAACTGTGAGACACGTTAACATGATGGATTTTGAAACTGAGTGACGTACCCCGGGTGAACTAATGTTGTAATAATAGGATTGTACATGTTGGCCACGTTCTTTATTTGGGAGCCAGGTAAATACTTAAAACGTATAACTCAAAGTGTAGCAGGCGCTAGCTAGCTGGCTAGCTTGTCCACTCATTTATGCTGCGCTCGAAATAAGGCTAACTCCGGCGGAAGTTAAACTGACGCTCCTAACCAATGAGAGAAGTGGGATTTAGGAAAAACACTTGATTGACAAGCGGCTTAGCCATTCAAAGCGTGAGCCCACCTATCTGTCAAAGCTACTAGCAAACCGGCTAACAACAAAGTAGCTGCCGTCTAAATGAAGCTAACAGTTAGCTTGATGACAGTAAGGGAAAACGTTCACGTACCTCGTGAGACACACATTCCAGAGACCGTAGCTCGCTACAATAGCGACAGAAATAAAGTTGAGATAAAGGGGCTCTGATCTTTTTCTCCCCACGAACCAGATAGACAACTCTATCTGGCTGCAGAAGAGACGCCATCTCCGCACAGCTCCGACGAGACGACGGGCTCACTTGCTGCGCCGCCGCTATCGTGGATGTCACCGGTAGTTGTCTGGAACACAATGAGCTCAATGTCGACCTCGTGTGGTCAACACTGCACTTGCCAGCCTAAAACCAGATGTGTACGATAGGTGACGTTACTTAGGGGACTAATGTTTTTGTTTTTCGTTCTGTATTGGCACGCAGGTGGACAGCTTCTCTCGCTGTCCACCATGGTTATGGCAAATGTGTCTCTAAATGACACCAAGGAGAAGATACAATATTTAAACTGCGACAGGTGATGAATTGTTTGAGGAGTCTGTTCAAGTCAAATATCTCAAAATCCATTTCATACCAACTATTTGTGCATTTTCATGTGTTTTAAAACCATATAAAATAATTGTTTTTTGGAATGTACCTGTATTTATCTAATAAGTCAATATCCCTGCTGTGAGAGGAAGTTTACTCCTATATAGCAGGGTAGGTGAACTCGGGATCGCGACATAATAACAACATCACATATGGATGTGGCCTTGTGAAAGATAAGTGAACACTGCATGGACTATGACGGGCTCAAGCAGAAGTGGATTGGGCCACTCAGAGGGCACGTGGCCGAGTACCGCCTCACCATGGCAACGGCTGAACCCTGAGAGGAGAAATGGCCCATGGCATCCAAGTATATCTCCTCCTGTCAGGGACGTGGCGTTAATCGTTGCGTATGTATTTATTCGTCAAAATCTCAACAAACTTTTTTCCTTCCTCAATCTCAGTGAGTGAGACACACACACGGACACATTCAACTATATTCGCTGTATTTTTCTTGATCATAGAAAGTGACTTTTAAAGACAACAGATGAACATAGACGCATTAATCAACGCTCAAACGCTTCCCGTCGTGTACTACGTCGTCACGCCAGCGGAGGGCGTCATCTCAGCCAGCTGTGCGGCTCCCCGCCCCACCTCCTCCCTCAGGAGTCAAACCATCCTGCGGGAGAAGCGGACGGACGCTCACATCGAGTCGCCGCCGTGTCGGGGAAGGACGACGTGATGCGGCCCTTCTTAACGCTGCTGCTGCTCGGCCTGCTGCGACCCTGCGGGGCCGAAACTCCACTCACACAGGTAGGCCACCTGTTGATACGCGCGCGCACGCACGCACGGCGTGCATCCAGTTAGACAGACGTGACGCACATAAGCTAAAAGCAGAAGACGTCAGCGTTCACACCGGCGCTTTATCAACCTCAAACGAGCTGATAACTGATTGATAGCTATGACGTAACTTGTTTTGTAAACTAGTTGTCCCCCGCACGCGCGTTCTGTCGTGAATTTACTTTTATTTTGGAAACAGGTGGTAGGAAATAATGTAATTGACTTGTATTTAGCAACAGCTGTCATGTCTCATGGGCATGGCAGACCGAATTTGAGTTAGTAATCCACATCAGGAAAGGTCTAACCTCTTTTTTCTTTTTACATTGTGATGCATTGACTTCATCTAATGCTTTAAATAATGGCAAATGATGGTCTCTAAATAATGCAAAGCGACGTGCATGCAAGAGCAAACAATACAATCAGTAGGACGTTACAGACAGCCTTCAACCCCTCGTTCACACACAGCAAAGTATTCTAACACACGGGTCAAATAATAGCAGAGAAAAAAGGCGGACTAATAATAACCGCATGCAGTGGACACAGTAGAACAACAATGACAAAAAATGAGCCACTCTTATCAGTAGCAGCAATGCGACTACTAGTAATATTGACGTAGTCAGGTAAGACCACGGCAGGAACAACCGCGTTCCAGATATAACCACCAAAAACAGAAAACTGAGGCGAGTAAGCACAAAGACTACGGGGGAAGGAATAAAGTTAGGAGGCAATCCAGTGGAGTAACGTTGTACGAGCCCCTTGTAAGATACAATGAATTGGGGCTTTGTGATTGAGGAAAGGGATTTTAAAACTTGCATCTTGATTTTACAAGCGCCAAGTAGCAGAGACGGGAGGGATGGGATTCAGTTTCTGTAGCGTTCTGCATCAACAGAGGAGATATTTGTGGCAGATGTGCTGCTCTGTTGACCCAAAGTCTTTAAGTGGGGCAGATGTCAGTGGCCTCGCTCACGTAACAAAACACGTGTAATCTATGGAGGGGGAGAAGGTAGCAGCTGTCCTATTTGGTTACATTGCCTTGGAGACACCAAGGTCACGCCGACAGTACAACTGTTGGTTAATAATCGGGCCTTTTCAACATTTCTCAGTGCGTTTATAAATAGCATTCGGTTATACAGGAATATATTTGGGACTCAACTAACACGTTGTCATCTACTTGTTTTGAAAATGACTACCCACCGATAATGAAACTAACTGAAACGAGGCCCACCTTTGGCTATAGAGTCTGTACGCGCCAACATACATAACCTGTTGTTACCGCTCCCCCTCTCCTCCCCAGCGGTGTGAATTGACAGACGGCACCATTTACAACTACCATGCAAAGACTCTAAACGAGAGTTACACTGTGAACTTCAGTGACCTCAAGGGCAGGAGTGTCCTCTTCATCAACGTGGCCACGTACTGAGGTTACACCTTCCAGTACGCGGGTAAGAATCCGTTGGACCGATAGCACTGTTTTGTGTTGAAGTAAATCTTCTCCATCTCAATAAATTTTCCCCTTTTTTCTCCTTTTCCTTCGTCAGAACTGAATGCACTACACGAGCAGATGAAGCCACTGGGCCTAACTATTCTGGGCTTTCCCTGCAACCAGTTTGGGAAGCAAGAACCGGGGCAACCCCACGAAATTCTGCCCGGTCTAAAGTGAGCAATGTGGGGATGTCGAAACCTGAGAAACCCTTACCCTTGGAGTCAATAGCTGCCCACAACAGTTTACATCGTAAACGCGCTGTAACATTAGAGCCTTCGAAGGGGGAGAGAGGAATTTGCCTAAATCCTCTCAATCAACAGAGCTTCATTAAAACAGGAAAACACAATTTGCCAATACTGCCGGCCTCCCTATCTACTCATTGAATGACTGTCTTACGTTCCGTAGAGCGAAGCCACGGCAACATACTTTAGTTTTTTAATTTCCTCACCTCCTAGTGAATGTAGGGCAGCTGTCCGAGCCACTAAGCGCTCAGACGCATGTCCACTGATAAGCTGCCCTCTTTGGATTCCAGGCATGTCCGACCAGGCAATGGATTTGTTCCAAACTTCCCGCTGTTTGAGAAAGGAGATGTGAATGGAAAAGACGAGCAAGAGGTTTTCACTTTCCTTAAGGTACGTCGTTGTCTTTGTGTGTGATACAGAGGTGGCCTCTTTCTCCCTGAAGCCTCGTATTCCAGCTGTGCACACACAGATTACTCATTAGCTGTAAAATGCTATAAATGGCTTGTTGATTTTGGACACTCTCCATTAACGTTCTCACTAAGTTTATTACAATAGAGAATGTTACTTTTTTACAACTCAAGGCAAGTACATATTTTCTAACATCACTCGTTAATAACGCTGTTCTCTGCCACGCAGAGCTCCTGCCCTCCAGTCGGAGACCTCCTCGGAGACCCCGCGAGATTGTTCTGGGGGCCCATCAAACTCAGCGACATCAAGTGGAACTTTGAAAAGTTCCTGGTGGGTCCGGACGGGAAGCCGGTGATGAGGTGGCACCCGAGCGTCAGCGTCTCTGAGGTCAAAGCGGACATCCACAAACATCTGATCCAGCTGTACACGCAGCAGTTGTGATTCATCACACTGTATTTTTCCCATTTAACAGGAGTATCAGTAATGAGATTGTGATGTAAAACAGTCGGGAGTAATGTTAACGGATCGTGACACATGAAGATGGCATGTTGAATGAAGAAGAGGCTTGAAAACAGGAACTCTGTGGTGCCTCTTCGGAGTCTGGGGGGTTCAGGGCAGCTCTTCAGTGCATTCGAGCCGTCCTGCGATCCCACAGCTTCATGTCATCTTCTCAGCCCAGGACCTGTTAGCCATTGCACCCTAAATGTTAATTACCTGTAATAAATCATGGAGAACATACAAATGTGAGGAATTTTTTTTTTTTTTTTAAACAAGAAGCAACCAATGGAAAAGTGGACATGATTAAGTTAATTTGTGGCCTTGACATTTCTATCATGCAATAAAAATGGACACGAATAAGCAAGGTAAGATGCTAGAAGACATTTAGAATAGATTTATTAAGCCAGTCAAATACAAAAAGTCTCACATGTGCTTTTGCCTATAGCAAAAAAGGAAAAGGGCTATAAACCAAGAAAATACAACTGCCAGTAATTACAGCATACCTTTCAAAGTGCAATTTGGCTAATTTCTCACTTCTGCTCTCAACCATCAGGACTCTGTTCCCTGAAAGTCAACTTGTTAGATACGGTGGTTTCCAATTCTTTTTGCACACGTTTTAAAAAGCCCTTTACTATCTTAGTGGGTATTCAGTGAAAACCGATTGGATCTTCCCTTTTGAAAATGGTGACATACATCCAGCTGAAGGGTGGATCCGGTGTCATCGGGGCACTTGACTGTGTCACAACAGCTCACCGGTCGCTGGAGTGACCAGAGAGCCGGTTTCTCCCAGGAGCACCTGTATTGCTGTAACATTGGATCCACCCCCCCACACAAAGTACTGATGGAACGCTTCACTTCCTCCATCTGTTGCTTGGGCAACATTTCAATGTTTCAGCAGCAGATGCACGGAATACAACCTCTCCATCGCTACTGCCTAAAAGGTGTTGTAGATATCTAAGTATTGGATGTTGGGGCTAAACTGTGGTACACGATGCAGCAAGATGAGTATGAGACTCGGAATTAGTGGTCAAATCAATTGTGGTCAAGTCGTAGTAAGTGTTGTGTTTAATGAGATTAGGTCCATCATCATGGGGAAAAAAAAGGCTGTGTATGTACTCTGCATTGTGTATTGTGTCTGATACAAACATACAATGTCAATAGCTACAATATATTTGGATTACACTAACATAGAAAGAACAGCATTACTCAAAGACAATGATTTACACTTAGTCAATGCAACTATCAAGGTTATAAATAAATTATCAAATCACAATTATGTTTTGGTATGATGGCAGTAAAATGCATTTCCCCCAAATTTTTGTATTTCAAAAACCACTTTTGAACAGTTACACGCATGGGAGATCTCTAATATCGATGGTACTGAAGAAATCCTCAAATCAATCAACATTCACATTGTAAATTCTGTGACTCAATGTACCTAAATAATCATCCATTGTTGGAATGAGAATATGTTGCCTTATTCATATTGGGGAATGGCTTCCTGTAACTCTACAAGTAACCAGCCAAGTGTCAGATTGTTAATGATTTGCAGAGATGCAAGCACGTAGGTATATTTTCTGGAAAAAAAGAACAATGGAAATTATTCCAACCTATTTAATAAATGACTTCAGTTCCTAATAAGAACCCCAACTAAATAATATTTAATGTATATATTTAGAATAACGTGTTTCACAAATAGCCTTATAAAACGCAAGTATAAACAACATTACAATAGGATATCTACAGTTCAGTAGGAAAATTATAGATCAAATCACACCTTGTCAACTCAAAAACATACTGATTTCATGCTACTACCCAGACTCCATTTGGTGGGTGCGGTGATGCTTTAGTGCTTTCCAGGGTCAATGTTCTGTCGCTCCCTTTTTCCAAATCCTGCTGCTGCGGCTGCGGCGGCAGCTGCGGCTGCGGCTGTTGTTGCGGTCTGATCTACACATGCATTAAAGAAACAAGAATACGTTATCTCCACAGTCAGACTTTCCTTTGTAATGAATATCGTAAAAATTCAGCCATTGTGTGGTGTAGTCAAATCAGTTGATGATTTGTAGAAAAGGTAAAAAAAAAAAAAGGTAGGCAATACCTAGTAGTCAACGAATCCAATCTAATGATCAGAATAGTGTTTGTTCATACTAATGAGTATTATTATGTGGTTAAGCACAGAATGTAGAGAATGAGAGTCCGACGCCTGCAAGTTTTTGCAATTCAATGGCATTTTGTTGACACATAAGGAGTTCCTCCGGCTGAATCCTTTCTGCAACAGTGTTGTACTGGTATCATACCTGCATTCTCTGGTGGTGGTCTCGAGCTCTCTCCTACTGCTGCTCTGGTGCCTCTCGGCTGCGGAAATGACGACTGCCAAGGAAAGCCCTGAGCAAAGAGGAAGGAACACCTTAGCTGAAGTGGCTTCAGAGACCCATTGATCCCCCATTGCCGTCGCGTCTTTGCCGTAGTCTAACAATGGTTATTGAGTGCAAGCGTGGCTAGGTGGAGCTACAGTCAAGACCCAATTACAACTGCTTGTTTCCCCTCCATGAAGGATAAGGGGAGCGGAAGCGAGAAAGAGAAGAGGGCCCTGTTTGCTCAGAGAACCAGTCACCCCAGAGACAGGAGGGGCCTTAGAGGACCCTTACCGCGGCAACGGGCTGGAAGTCTCGTACTGGGGGCGGCGCTGCGGCGGCTGCGGCTGTGGCGCCTGCTGCATTGGGCATCCGGGGAGGGAAGTGTATGGGCCAGCCCTCGGGGCCCTGCGGTCCTACCTGCACAAAGGGACCACAGTAGGGAGGGCTCAGCGGGCCGTTCACTGAGCCCGACGTGGGGTCTGAGGGACGTCTTTTCTGCTGCTGCCCCTACGAGGGATCACAAGTACACACGTGATCCCCAATCAGTGCCCGGCCACTACCCCCCCCGGCGAGCGCAGTGGGCCCGTTGTGGCACGGGCCAGCACTGACCTTTAACCCTACGGCACCTGCCTCCCACTGAGCCATGTGAATGGTCCCCATTGCACCAAAAAAAAACAAGCTGGCTTGAGTGAGGCTCTTGAGAGTCATTTGGGCCCTATGAACCGATTACACTCAGCATCTATGTGACAGCATTCTGTCACAAGAGGGCGCTCGTCAGCAGGGTCTACTACAAGTTACAGCCTACTGCGTGATGCGGCACACAGCTTTGTAGAGCCACTGTCAATGAAAGTCTGGCCTGAAGAACTCGAGAGCACGCCCGAAAAACCCTCTCCAGGCTGACGGCAAGGTTTCATTTTTAAATGTCAACTTGTCTGCGACACTACCAGGCGCAGAGCTGAGCAGCAGCCAGTACCTGTTTGTGATGCTGCATCTGCAGTCTCTCCAGCTTACATCGCTCCGTACGTTCTCTCTGACACTCGTTCTGTGCCTGGTGAAGCTGAACCACAAACCAAATTGCATGTTAGAGAGACGTTTCGTTACCATTTTGCTTAAAGGGTTCCTCATCATACCACATATTGGAGGAGAAAACACACACATCAGCTTACCTGATTGGTCAAATTAGTGATCTGACCCTGAAGTCTCTCAACCTGCCGCCTCAAGTCCTCCTTTTCCTCGTTCATTCGCTCCCTGTCACTCCTCTCTTTTCGGAAGTCTTCTTCGAAGATCTTCACCTGAAGTACAAAACAACAACTCAATTCAGCCGAGGAAATGCATGGACAAACTGAATGTTGGAGATATTCTTTCCTCCTGTCCTGTCGTTATCATTGGCAAATGTGATGTTGTTATTGGTCCTGTGGAGCAAAAATTAGCTCATAAATGATCTGATAACTAAATATAAGATGAATCCATAGACTTCCAGATTGCATCAGAGCCCTTGTGTGCGTCTAGGTACGTTTCGTTGCATGTCTGACCTGTTCCTTTAGTACGGCAATTTGAGTGAGCAGTTCCTGTTTCTTCAGGTGATTGGCTGCATCGGCAAAATTACTCTGACCAGGTGGCTGTTGCGATGATGAAGGGGTGTGCAGGTTTAAGGCTTCCTCTAAAGCCTGAAATGAGCCAAAACAAAGTTTGAAACACAAGAAGCAACACTCTGTGGAAGAGTCGCAGAAGCAGCGGAGAGCCGAGTACACTCACCCTGTTGAGGCGTTGGATCTCCTTCTCCTGGTACTCCCTCTGTTTGCTGAGGGGCAGCAGCTGATCCTGCAGGTAGCGAATCTTCTGCTTCAACTCAGTGGTTTCAGAGTTCAGGCACTCCTTCTCTCCCTGAAATAGACACACCGAAAAAAGAAAACAATGTTGTAGTTCATCCTCGCTTTTTTGTGGTTTGTTTTTTTATCTGCGGCCTGGTTTGGACATTTTTCACGTGGGCTTTGTGACCTCGTGCCCTCACCTGTACATTTTCAATCTTGGACTTAGCCAGCAGCAGCTTCTTGTCGTAGTCGCGCTGCCTCTGCTCTCGCTCGGCCTCCAGCTCAAGCACAGTTTTCTGGGACTCAGCCAGCCGTTGTCTGAGGTCTGTGATCTGAGTGACAACGGCAACCATTTTTTAATCCACCAACCAAAAGCTGATATCTGAGGTAAAACTAAACATCTGTTGTTGTTGTAGGTTTTGAAATAATAAGCTAAACCACAGTGACAAGGACACATCTGCAAGTACAAGCAGTTCTTTTTTTATTTTTTTTTATTAAAAATGAACAGATCTTGTGACGCAAATGAATATATATCTAGGGTTGTGTGGTCTAAACCCAAGGCTGCATGGTGTCGCAGTGTGAACAAATTTTGAATGTAGGTTGCTTCCTGATTGTGGGTGAGCATACGCGTAGGTGTGTGAGTATGAGTGTGAGAGTGTGTACATTTGTGTGTCTCTGCTGCCCTCTGACTGCACCACGAGAGGAAGTCAGCGGGTACCAGAGAGGTGAGGGGAATTCTGACTGAGGTGTGACAGGCCGTGCGGTAAGCATGCTCAGATAGCGAGCTACTGCAAGATTGCACCTTTCCACTGGACAAGCATATACAAAAACACACACGGCTGCTTCACTACACACTGATGCACACTCGGTTCCTTTAAGATATTTCCGGATTACAAAATCCCTGCCATCTGTCATTTCAAAAGCATGTCAACTTTAATGGTCATGGAAAAACGGTTGTCATTATTCCAGTGGCGTAATGCGAAACATGCTAAAAAGGGTTGTTTTTTTCTTGAGCCAAATACATAAGGACAAACATTTATTTTCAATGATGAGGTTTAGGGAAAATGCTAGACGGATACTT